CGAGGAATGATCTTTGATCATACCAGAACAACATTACTGAGCAAAGCACAGCAACGCCAAGTCACGTTTTATCGTAGACACTAAGATGGATGTACTCACATAACGCTTAGTACCTAAGTTATTGCCACTGGCATAGATCGCAAGGATGATTGGAGCTGGTAAAAATTTACTCAACTGCAAGCATTCAGGCAAGACTTAAAACATTGCATACCCCGGTAAAACCACAAGCATAGTCTGGCTACCTCAAAAGGGATGCTCAGATTCTTCACGTAGTTCCTGTTCTGTGCTCGCTGCTCTGCCCAGTGGATGAACAAATGCCAAATGATCCATGCTTTCATCTGTGGGGCAGCTGCAGCCCAAGCAATAGAGGTGTGTGTTGATGCATAATTTAACAAAAGGGAAGGGGGGAGTGATGGGGACCACCTAGAACCTGCCATGCTTTCAGCAGTCAAGTCCCCTTCATCACAAGGGGTCTTCATTACTTTTTGAATTGACTGAAGGACCTACCTAATTGGTTCCTGATTATTCAAGCATTATGTAATTAGAATAGTGTACAGGAAAAAAAAGGAACTAGGTTATGTTAATGTAACATGCTCTACCTCTTAATCTCAGTGAAGACATTAGAGGACATTAAAGTAGATCTGTCACTTACATTTAAAATACCAACTCCAGCTTTTTTTTTTTGTTTCAAATAGAGTTCGTAAGCATGGGGACTTTTTATTTCTTTCTGTGTCCCCCAGTTGAGCGGTTTCTCCTCACTTCTTGTCGAAGTGATGAGCGTCAGAACAGGAAGTAATTGGGGGAAAAAAAACCAAACATGTTTCTAGTACAGTAGAGAAGGATTAGAACTTCCGTAAGGTTTTTATTAGTGTCCATGTTTCATGGCCTGAAACATAGCATAAAAAGTTTGAGAATATCTGAGAAGAAAGGTTGAAGGGTATCATAGGATTTTGTCTGTTGATTTCTGCTGTTCCAAAGAGCTAGCCCTAAGTGTAATATAAAGTATGCACCCTCAGGATATATAAGTATATGTGTATGTACCTAGCAATTTAATAATTAACAGTTAGATAATGCTCTGAGGAAGTGTTACCTGATCAATGAAGTAGTTACTGGCTTGAAATTGTTTTTGTCTGTACCTTGGAATGTAACTCGGCAATAAATAAAAGATAACGTTTGCACTATCTGCAGGATCGTCTTTTCTAGATAATAAACACATGACCAACGACCATCTTTTGCCTATAGTAATATAAGAATGTCTTGTGATAAGCAGAATCTTCTGTAAGCAACCAGAAAGCTCCTGGCTTAACCAATAATGATGATTCATCCAGCCGTGTGAGCTCTGAAGAGCTTAAGTGTGTTCTATTTTAGTTTCAGTCATTGCCTGTGGCTTCTTCTCTTTCAATTGCCAGGTTGCAGAGTACATTTTCTTGTTGAGTGCTAATTCATGGTAGTGCAGGCCAAAAAAGGTGAGGTGAGGTTCTCTGGTTGACACTGTAGATATACAAAGTATGCACTTTATCATCTAATATGATTCAAAATACATATCGGTGGAATCAATGCTATTGTTCATACCCATACAAAATTACAGCGCATCTGATCTTAAAAAGACTTTTTACAAGCCGTACATTTATCTGTATAAAGGCCTTTACAAATATTTTACAGTGGTTGTTAGGATGGTTGTTAGAAAATGTATCGAAAATTTATAGATCTGATGGGCAGACTCCATTAACTATAAGGGACCTTTATAAAGATTCAGAAAGTCTATGGAAGCTGCACAATCGTGTCTATGTGTCAGCAGAGGAGACTGTGTGATGACGCGTTTCCGGGGTCCATGGACTTACTTTTTATATCATTATCATGCTGAATTTTGTGAGTATGTTTTTTATCTACCTTTGATCCTGATCTTAATAAATTTGTCTGCACCAGGAAAGGCGCCCCCTGTTTGTGTTTTTTCCCTATGTTAGAAGAATATTACAGGTAACAATACACTACAAAAATAATGCTGAACTAATGAACTGAAATTATGATTATGACCCTTGAGAAAATGACCCATTCTGAATCTTTATAAAGGTCCCTTATAGTTAATGGAGTCTGCCCATCAGATCTATACATTTTCGATACATTTTGTGTTTTTTCCCTAGATTTTGCGGTCTCCCTGGCTGGTTTGGGGGCAGCATCCTGCAGACCTTTCTACACACGTGCTTTCTATTATTTATATATTTTTTAACAGACTTGTTTCTGATTACACTGGTGCTTATATTGGTCCATACTGGCGGAGTAGTCCTTTTTGGCGCTTTTTTGTGTTCATATCTATTCTTCTAACATATACTGCCTTGCCCATGTGCACCTTTCCCTTTTGCTAGTTCTAAGCAGATCTGAGGGGCTGTCATTTTTATTTGTTGTTGTTGGATTTGGTGCCAACACTTACTGAAGGCCTTAAGCGGCTGTCTGGGCTTCTGGTGTGTAGCTGTACCTTTTAGGAGGATGGGGCTGCCTCCAGGTGAGCCACATCTGTTTGTGCATTGCTATATATTTTGCACAGTTGGGAAACTCGGATGGTATAGACTCGGGAACCACACTTATTAGAAGTACCTTTGACGCAGCAGTGTGGCTTCCCCATAGATTTGCAGATGTATATAACTAAAACCTCTATTTTTCATTGTAAAGCTTGGTTTGTTTTACTTGATGGCTAGCCTGAAAGTGTTCCTGGAATCTGTTTTGTACTGCACAGATTAAAGGCACCTCATGCTAGACACAGCAAAGCAGCCCCAAAATATAACCAAGCCACCTCCTCCACACGTTTCACAGTAGATATGGTGTTCTTTTCTTTAAAAGCTTCATTTTTTCATTTCATTCAACATAGAGCTGATGTGACTTGCCAAACAGCTCCTGTTTTGTATCATCTGTCCAAAGGACATTCTCCCAGATGTGTTGTGGTTAATCAATATGCATTTTAGCAAATCCTAGACTGGCATTTTCATGTTATTGCTTTAAGCTCACTGTTGCTCAAAAAGCGACATATGTACCATGACCTTGGAGTTCGGCTTGTATCTCTTTGGATGTTTTCCTTGGCTCTTTGGCTTCCATTCATCCTATCTTTCTGTTCAATCCAGAGGTAGATTTTCCTCTTGCGGCTGTGTCCAGGGAGGTTGGCTACACTCCCATGGACCTTAAACTTCTTAATAACATGTGCAGCGGTATTTACAGGGACATCAAGTTTCCTGGAGATGGTCATATAGCCTTTACCTTTGACATGCTGGTCTATAATTTTGATTCTGATCTCAGACTTGCTTTTCTCATGTTCAGTGTTGTGCACACAATAATACCAAACAGCAGAGTGACGACTTTTTTCCATTTAAAAATAATGACTCATTACAAGATTGAAGACGTGTGATACTAATATCAGAAAACAGTTAGTTTGAAATATTACTATGATCCAATTTTTTATACCAAAAAATATTCCTATGCCATTTTAGAATATCTTTAAAGGTTACGCAACATTTTATATATTTTCACAATTTCTATGCTTTAATTTATGACATACTGAAAGCATGCAGGTTTACATGAGGCAATTGCTTCTAATTTCTTAACTTTTCAGGAGGAATGAAGCCTCAAAATTTTTCCCACATCTGTATCTATATATATATTTTAAAAAAATGATATACAGTATCTCACAGAAGTGAGTACACCCCTCACATTTTTGTAAATATTTTATTATAGCATTTCATGTGACGACACAGAAGAAATGACACTTTGCTACAATGTAAAATAGTGAGTGTACAGCTTGTATATCAGTGTACATTTGCTGTCCCCTCAAAATAACTCAACACACAGCCATTCATGTCTAAACCGCTGGCAACAAAAGTGAGTACACCCCTAAGTGAAAATTTCCAAATTGGGTCCAATTAGCCATTTTCCCTCCCCGGTGTCATGTGACTCGTTAGTGTTACAAGGTCTCAGGTGTGAATGGGGAGCAGGTGTGTTAAATTTGGTGTTATCGCTCTCACTCCCTCATACTGGTCAATGGAAGTTCATCATGGCACCTCATGGCAAAGAACTCTCTGAGGATCTGAAAAAAAGAATTGTTGCTCTACATAAAGATGGCCTAGGCTATAAGAAGATTGCCAAGACCCTGAAACTGATCACATTAGTATGGTAATCATCTAGTTATTTATATTCTGTGTTGTGGCAGATTAAATTACTGTGATACTTTGAGACAAGGTTTGAGATATAACCAGGGGCAGAGTTGTGCATGACTTTGTAAGTCGTTGTTAATATTTTGAATGTTATCCTTTGGTTGATTGGAAGCCAGTGCAGGGATTGGCAGAGGAGGGTTGCAGACACTGAGCAGTTGGTTAGGTGAATGCATCTAGCAGCAGCATTCATGATAGACTGAAGGGGGATAGCCTGTGTAGAGGTAGGCTACAAGTGAGTGGATGAGTATCTTTGTGGTTTCATTGGTGAGGAAGGGGCGTATTTTGGAGATGTTACAAAGATAAAGGTAGAAGGATTTGGATAGTGATGTTGCTAGTTTGAGCTTTGCTGTAGAAGGGACTGCCAGAGGCTGATTCAAAAGCATGCATTTACACTGCTTGCAATAAAAAACACATTTATTGATGTATTAATTCATACAGAGCTGCATTATTCCACATCTTTTATATCTGTCTGCAGTTCAGCCTTAAGTATGGGTTCAGCAGATTTGATTTCTGATAGTCTGCAGTATATATGTTTAAGTACAGCTAAAAAATTTTTTATTGCCTACTGCTATGGGATTAAGTAACTTCTCAAAAATCAATACCTTCGGATATATTTTGACTACTTAAAATAAATGCTTACCATTTTAGTAAAAAAAAGGTGCACTGTGCAGTAAAATCTGGAAAGTGTGGAGAAATACAAGAAGTGTTAGTGTTATGCCTAAAAGTTCATAGTAGCCTTAATGCTGTCACAAAGGTCTCATATGTCTAATGGTAATCCAACTTGTGTTACTCTGTCTATTGCAGTGGTCTGCTGTCCTCTGAGTATGTGGAGATTAAGTATGATGAAGGAATACCAATACTTAACAAGGTAATTTGCATCCTTATGCTACACACAATTAGATTAAAGATCACCCCTTCCCATTAGTTTTTACAGGCCATTATTGCCCACCTGTAAAGTATAAATATACTGTTCTCTTTGAAAATGCTGATCTAATAAAAAGCTTATATTGGCAGATAGAAACAGCATACACCTATGATATAGGAAAACAAATTTATAAATACAATAGAAATAATATTAGATATTAGACACTTTAGAAATTAGAAATAAAGTAAACCTGTCACTCTGGACAGTTAGTAAACATGACCTTTAGAGTTAAAATCAGACACCGTGTACATAACTTTTTCTATCTCCTTGGCATACCAGCCAGCCACCACCATCCTCCCACTTACCTAAGTACAATGAACATTCCACTTTGATCAATGGAACAATATTCATTTTAAGTGAATGAGGTTAAAGCGTGTTATAGCTCTGACTTTGGTGCTAAAAGCCAGTTAGTGTCCTGAGTTTGCAAGCACCTGTGGTTCAGAGGAGGATTAAAAATATGCATACGCAGCTCCTGGTGCCTATGTTTAACTGTTAATGTCAGCTTTACTGCTTATGCAAAATAACAGAATTGTGTTAAGTGGTTGTGAATTTGGATATTTTTGGACATCTCTTTTCTGCATTACATTTTTATCCAAAAACAGAGCAGAAACAGGTAGTTCCCTAAAAATATTGTAACATAAGCTGGAGAGCCATAAGAGAAAATAGCTGCAAGCTTATACTTATATCAAACAGCAAATCTGAGCTTCAGTATTTAAATCCACTTGTTTGTAATATGTTCAGCAGCTGTGTACAATATATCAGCCCTATGCATATGGCTATTTTTGAAAGGATTTACAGAATTAAGTCACACAGCTTTGTGTGTGTTCCTTCCATGTAAAGGGAAACAAGTACAAAAGCAATGTAAAGCCTTCTGGTACCGTGCAGCGTGGCTGCTGTTTCTGATTCATGAGTCTAACTACTAGAGAAGTAGAAGAATGAGGGAAGAAAAAAGCCAAGCGCTCCATCAAGTCTACCCCCTTTTTATTTATTTATTTATTTTTAACCTTTTTGTCTAATTATATATCTAAGTCTGTTCCAAGTATGTTTACTTTCATGAACTGCTGACTGATTCACTACTTTCTACAGTTACTTCTAAACTTTTCTCCTGCTAGTTTAAGATTATGACCCCGTGTTCTTAATCTCAGCTTCATATTGAAAATTCTGCCCTGCTGAACCTTATTCACACCCTTAATATATTTAAAGATTTCAGTCATGCCCCCCCCCCCCTTTCCCTTCTTTTCTCCAGGCTGTAGATAATAAGTTCTGCGGTCTCTCCTGATATGTTTTATCCCTCAGACCGTTGCCTATTTTTGTTGCCCGTCCTTGGACTTGTTCTGTATTATCAATATCTTTTTTTTAACTGAGGTCAGAACTGGGCACAATATCCTAAATAAAGGTCTCACCCGTTGGTGATCCATCTAGTGATGCACCTCTGAATTCTATTTTTTCCACTGCCAGGCCTCACTGTTTTTTTTTATTTTGCAATCATCTGAAATAGGCACCCAGGATATTTTTCCTCTGTAGGTCTTGCCAACACAGTACCCCCAATATTGTACTTCATTGGAGGATTCTTTTTTTAAGTGCATTATTTAGCATTTTGAAATGGTCCAGCAATGACAAATTATGTTCCATTTTACAAACACTTCCAGCTATCAAGCACATCAATCCTATTGCACACCTGTTTGCCATCGGCAAAAATACATACCTAGTCCACCAAACTAATTATATCACTTACAATCAGATTAAATAGCAGAGGACAGAGTACAGAATCTTGCTGTACACCACTAGTGACTGGTCTTTGTTCTGACTGAACCCCATTTACAATCATACAAAACACAAAAAGGTCCCCAGCACACCTGCCAGCTAGCCTGCAACAAAACAAATTACCCTGTCAACTAGGGATGCACCGATACCACTTTTAGCTGTGCCACACTGTATTCTGGTCTGCAGTCTGGACATGTTTTTATCTATTTTGACCACTAGGGGGATACAAGCCTTAGTTAGCAATATCTACATAGTTAGTGTTTTTCTTTTTTTAAAATACTATATGCCGATAAACAGCAGTTTTGTGCCCAGCCCCATGAGGTGTGTCAGTACTAACCTGCTGTGTCGTCTTCTCCGTCTGCTTCAGCCACTCCGTGTGACAGCCTAGTCATCTGCTCCAGTGGCGTAACCAGAGTTATGGGCGCCCGGGGCAGAAATTTTTTTTCGCCCCCCCATATTATATAAACATCCACTGGAACTGTACCCCCCACCCCCACAAATATATATCAGCTAAGGAACTACAAGTCCAAGCATGCCATCATTGTCCCTGTACACCCCCCCCTCACACACACATATCACCCAGGCAACGGCAATATCTGGTTGATGTACAGGGGCAATGAGGGCATGCTGGGACTTGTAGTTCCATAGCTGATATGTTATGAAGCTGTATTCTACCTGAAAGTACTACATTGACATTATAGAACTAAGAATAGAACATAAAATAAAACTTTTTTTCTTCTTCTAATACTCACCTGATTCCTGGATCCACCAACAAGCGCTGCCTCCCGTATCCCATGCTGTTAGAAGTTGCATACAGCATGTGCTGGTGACTACTTAAACCGGCGAGCGCTGTGTGCAGCTTCTGGGAAGATACGCTATTAGCATAGCGATGAAGCCGGCTGCGCATTTTGCATCACTCCCGCTACGCTAATAGCTTATCTTCTTAGAAGCTGCACACTGCGTGACCTCTTCTCCCGCTGATTGGCCGATTGGATGATGACAGGCTTCCTCACCAGTCACTCCTGACTGGTGAGGAAGCCTGTCAATCATCCAATCGGCCAATCAGCGGGAGAAGAGGTCAGAATGGAGCAGATGACAGAGGAGGTCGCGGCCATCTTGCTTCATTGAAGACGCGATGGAGGTCCTGTGTGCGGCGGATTCGGGTCCCTGAAGATGGCGGACGCGGCACAGGTACTCGTTTTATGTATCAGAGTATTTGCACGAGTACTCATGCAAATACTCGGTATCGCCGCCGATACCGATGCTTGTATCGGTATCGGTGCATCCCTACTGTCAACAGTATGCGTTAAAAGCAGAGGTTTTAGTTGCACAAACCTTTGGACAAAAATATGTATAAGCCACACCGTCCCGTCAAGGCACCTCTGCAAAGTGTGGTCCTAACTCTATTTATATGAGTCTCCAAGTGGGAGCATATTAATGCAGTCGATAAATTCAATGCAGGTGTACCTGGAGGTAGTCTACTCCTCCTCCATTTACAATCACACTCTTGATATATTTATTTTAGCCAACTGCTTATCCACTAAACCACCCAAGGGTTAAGTCCTAGCTTTTTTATGAGATCGTAATGTGGAACAGTACACACACTGTAGACAGCACCACCCTGGTCTGAAACATTGTAACATTGTCAAATAATTAAATCAGATTACCCTGATATGATCTTCCATCAGTAAAGCCAAGCTGCTTTGGGTTGGACAAGTTGTGTGTTTTTAAACTTCAGTTGCTAAAAGCCTAGAAGTACCTGCTATGTGTTTACATTACAAGGCTGTAAGCCTGCCAAGATCTGCTCTCCACAGAAAGAACCTCAGATTTCAATGCTTGTGTTGTGAAAATTGGAAATAATTTCTCCACAATGCTTATAGATGGAGAGATGAGAGGGTATGTTTAAGGTGCTTTTACAAAATATGTAAATACTTTGTGTTGAACCTTCAACCCTTTTATGTCGGCAGCAGCAGGCCCCTGTAATCAGCCACTGGGAGATTACAGTCACCTAATCATTTCCACAGGCCATTTGTTAATGATTTCATTACTTTTGGTGTCTGAGCTATCATTCTCTGACCAGAGAGGCTGGGGAAGAAACTGCACAAGTACAATCTGTGCTTGATGAGCTTCAATGGGCTGCAAAGGTGACATTAGGGGTCTAGACCCCTAATGTGTCCTTAAAGAGCACCTGTCATTGCTAAAGTGCTTCCACGTGGCGGGCTTGTGAGCCCACAATGTGATAGTAATGAAATCAAATAAAAACGTTTAAAAAATAAAGTTAAGCACAATAAATTTAAAAACACCCAAACAAGTGGAAGTCTCCCACCCAGGCAAACACACACACATACTAACTCAAACATGTGCCAGGTGTGCCTGTGTATGAAAATTACGATTGACGATGCTTATGGTAGCTATGCTTGTGACTCCCTTTGTTTACAAAGTACAGAATGACTACTCCTGCTTGTATTGTTATGTTGTGGCACGTCAAGTGCTTGTTTTTCTCAACTTTTGTTATACAAAATCAAAATCTATTTTGGAAAATGACGATTGCGCCGCACATGTTAGGCATAGGTATGTTAGGGATGAAAATCGACATGATTATACTAATAACACACAGCATCAACATAGTAGTAGTAATAATGATGATAATAATACAAATTTAAATATTAATATTTTATTCTCAGCATCAGTGGTCCATGAAGCTCTGATTCATTCAAAAGCAATAGTATGTAGGTTAGCTTGAGTACATTTTAATATATTCTTATTTAATGTGAACCATGAAATCTTAACCCAGCAGAGCCTGGGAGATGGATTGTGTGTCCCATAACTCAGTTTTTTAGCTATTCACTATGAGAATTGGTCATTAAAGACAAGGACACGTTCAAGTACATATTTAAGAAGGCTTTGAAAACCGCAAATATAACCCTGAACAAGAGGAGGCCCAGGATGGGGTAAGACCAAATATGTTGAATACTAATGTTAAAGTTAGAACAATTAGATTTTAAACAATGGTGGGAGGTTACTGGTTGAAAACATAAGGGGTTGAAACCTTCTATTATGTAGTCTTATACTTGCAACTGCTTTCAGCTTGATGAAGAATACAATAATTATAAAATTAAGGAGAATGTCTAGTAATGGCCACAGCAAATGGGTGAAATAGGGAACCCAGATGTAGATGTCTTTGCACTGAACACCCCTAGGATGAATCAGCTCTTAGCATCTACCCAAAAGGGAGATTGCAATCTAGCAATCTACCCAAAATGTGAGTGCTGCGATCTTCAGGCATTGTGAGTTGACATACTCTTTCCTAAATTTGAATTCAAACTAAAACTATAATTTCTGTTTTTTTTTAATCTTTACTAACTTACACTTATGGGGAAAAAATAGTTTCATTAAGGTGTTCTAGCATGAAATCTCACTTTTGACTTTCACTGACTTCTTGACTGTAATCACTTTTTTTGTAATCCATAGGGAGGCGAGCACTGCTACTATCATGGTACCATCAGAGGTGTGAAGAACTCAAGAGTGGCAATATCTACTTGCAATGGTTTACAGTAAGGAGACATGAACACAACATTTTGCATTGCAGTTGCATGCATTTATTAAAATACACAATGTTAAAGGGTCAATATTGACATTACAGTTACAGATGGATGGTGAAAAAAGTAAATCACCCACAGGCTTTTATGGTCTTCAGGACCGCTGTAATGAGCTGTCCCCAGCAGATTTCCTAGCTCTTACTAATCCTATCCTGTCACAAAGTTCCTTTCTTCCTACAGTAGGAGATGTCTTAAAATGAACTCTGTTTTTTGTGGAGAAAAATCCTCTCCAGCCAACCATATGTATTGCCCTAACATTACTAAGCTTTACCGTAGAATCTGATCTACATCTAGTCGAGAATGAGGCAATTTCAGTGCATTTACTGAATTATTTCTAAGTGTAGGATTATTTACCCTTGTAGCACCCCCAGACACCCAGAGGCATGAGGTGGCCCCCCAAAGGGTAGGGAGGGCTGATATTTCACTCTTGGATGTGGACAGTAAATTGGGCACCAGTCACTTTAGGGACTTTTTAGATGCTTTAGTAAAGAACAGCAAAACTGGGAATGAGGGTATAGGGCTTCAGACATCCATGGCAAAAATAGACAAACTCCAGACTCACCGATCCCTTTCAGCTTCTACAGTACAGAAAATACTTCAGTAGAAAAGGGACTCACACTGTGCAGTAGAACAACAGCTGAATATGGATGAGCATGAGATCTTCCCTGGGAGAGACACCAGACTAGTTAATGAGGTCCATGCTATCTCCTGGCACTTGCAGCAGTTACAGGGTTCCTCTGGTTCTCCTCCCCAGATATCTCTAGACCCCACCTGGGTCCACATGTGGCCTCCTCCAGGCTTGAGGCCTAGTCAGCTTCTCCAACCTTATACATGTGTCCCCCCCCCCCCAGTCCAAGCCCGGTGGCGGACCCTCCTGAACATATGGCACTTCCTGAGTATTTATGCACTTTCCCAACATGCACCATGGGCCATGAAACTCCTAGTAATTGGCTGGTGAGGCATAGACACCCCTAATGTTCTCCTATTGGCTTCCCCACTCTGGTAGGGTCACACTCCATTCACAGGTAGGTGCAATCAATAGCAGAACACCTAGAATTAACCAACTAATACTAGACTATAAATCAGCCAGACTGATCACAGTATTAGCATCACAAAATTTTTGTAGCCACTTCACTTAAGGTGGTAGGGGCTACACAATAATCCAGCACAGATGGAAAGTATCTGATCAAAAATGGCACTTTCAGTGCAATAAACCTAAGGACTTTGTGCCCCCTCATCGTGATTTGACCTCAGGTTATCTCCAGACATCACAGAGTAGTAGCGTGCTAAGTACCGGAACAGGCCTATGATGATTGTGAGACTAGCTTTCAGAGAAATTATATGTTTCCTCCATGTTCACAAAAATTTAGTCTTTCTTTCACCCATCAACTAGATTCACTGCAATGCAAAATGGATAGGAAGCCCAAAAAGGAAGAGTGAGAACTCTTTATAATAGACATGGCAGGTGGGTAAACCTGGAGACTCCATTCCAAGATCCCATGGCCAGCGTTCCCAAAAAACATAATAAGCCCCTGAATGATACAAGCTGCTAGCGGTTACCCAGACCTGAAATATCCGTTTTGAATGACCTGGCATTTTACTTGATGTACATTTATTTTCGCCACACATGTTTTTTGCACTATGTATATAATATTGTGTCTATAATATTGTAATTGAATAAAAAAAATGAGACAGCACACATTTTTTTTGTGATCCAGTGGAATAAAATTGCCAATTAGGTAAAGTACTGGGATCAGGAAGTTTTAGCTCAATGTTTCCGTGTCTGGCTATGTCCCTAGGTCCAAAATATCAATTTTGCATGCGTTAACTGCAACAAAAAACAACCTCCCTTTTTCAAGACATGTATGTCATAAAGATGGTGGATTTGAACCCAGCAAAGCATACAGTATGTCCAACAGAAGAAATTCCTTATCAACTACATACATTTCAAAGATTTGAAAAAAAAAACTTTAATTCAGATTTGCACCAGTTTCTGCTATTAACTCAAACTCTTTTTTCCTACATCAATTCATCAGAATCATAGAATGTGCAGGTAGAATAAGGTCAGGAGTTTGTGAAACAATGTAGCGCACTAGGCACCTATGATTCCCCCAGTAATGAATAATCTGCCTAGATCAGGCAGGGGGAGAAGTTTCCTTAGCAGAAAGATTCCAGGGCAATGAGAAGCACTTTTTAGTTGCTATTCAACTGGCAAGAAAATTTCCTATTAGAGATGTCAGTAAAGAGTTCTTGTCAGACTTAAGTAATATACAAGAACGAGGGAAAAGGAGCATCGCAGAAAAGTAGCAAAATAATATGGATAGAACTCCTGGGTTTCAAAAATAATATTCAAACAACGCAATCCCTCTGACATAGAAATCCCATAGGTGGCGCTATCCAATGAACAAGTATATCAAATAGTATAAAGTGCATCAAAAATATTTTAATTAAACATAGAACGATATAAAGGTAAATCACCCTGTACAAGACATTTAAAAATCTTAAAATGTAGACACAGCTTGCCTAGAATGACCCTAGTGTAGGACAAAGTGTCTGACCAAATTCGTTAGTGCACTTCTCAAAATACAAAGTGCACAAACGAACACTCAGAAGGGACATTAAAGAAGCACTCTGGCTGGAAGCACCGTCCCAAAACCGACAAATTAATAAATAAACTGAGTAAATGAAATAAAAAAACAAAACTAATGAAACGTGGTGAAAAACTCGTCAGACGATGTGAATCACGTTGTTCTGGCGAGAAACATTAGTACCCTGCTATATGAACAGAGTGCAATTATAAGTGTATAAAGACTGCGTTTATAAATATTTGTCAAAGAGAGGGGACAGGTGCACCATCCCGAGAGGTTGATCCAAGGTCAATACAGACATTATATTCAGAATAAATCCATATACAGAAAACACCTATATAATATATAAGGTAAAATAACATAAAAATAAAATTATGAAGATCTGAATCAATCTTTGGCCTATTGTTCGATCTCTCAAATCATAAGTATAACTAAAGTCTAGATCCTGACATCATGAATACATAATTAGAAAAAAGAGAAGTAATTGAAAAAAATAGAAAGAAGCATTATGTTTGACAGGAAAATGGGTCAAAGGTAGCAACAAGGGAAACATTATATTTGACAGGTATATGGGTCAGAGGTAGCAACTGAAATTGATGGTGTCATTTAGTCCAGGTGCCTCATAGGACTCTGTCTGGTGAATCCACCTACATTCTCTCTGTAAGAAATGTTTGTCCCAGTCAACCCCCCGTCTGTGTTTGTGAACCCTATCCAGTACAAAGAAACGCAATTTGTCGGTTTGTCCATTGTGTGTGTTAACAAAGTGCCTGACTATGGGCGATCTTAAATCCCGGGCTGTTATGTCTGCTATATGATCCGAGATCCTATTTTTAAGCATACGTTTTGTTTTGCTGACATAAAACATGTTGCATTTACACAACAAGTTTTATGTCGGCAAAACAAAACGTATGGACACACAATGGACAAACCGACAAATTGTGTTTCTTTGTACTGGACAGGCTTTGAGAAAAGCCATGCAACCTTTAAAATGATTTGAATAACCACCAGGATTACAAATTATCATTCGAACACCATCCATTGAGTCATCATTGGGACATCTACTACGGAAGTACGGATGGACTTTTTTCTTGTGGCCACAAGATGAATAAGTGAGTAATCCAGTTATACATTGATACATTTGTATCCACTGCTTCAATACGGTGTACCCACTCACACCAGTGACTGCTTTGCACCAGTGACACTTTAACTCTGACTACTTTGTCCTACACTAGGGTCATTCTAGGCAAGCTGTGTCTACATTTTAAGATTTTTAAATGTCTTGTACAGGGTGATTTACCTTTATATCGTTCTATGTTTAATTAAAATATTTTTGATGCACTTTATACTATTTGATATACTTGTTCATTGGATAGCGCCACCTATGGGATTTCTATGTCAGAGGGATTGCGTTGTTTGAATATTCTTGTCAGACTTCCCAGCCCTGTATCCTGCCAATATGGAACCTCTCTCCTAGTCATGGATGCATTACATAGAAGTCTTCTGATGGTTATATGAGCCAAACGGATCCCACACATCCTTAGAACTAATGCTAAGAGGCTATTGTTTGACTATTGTATGCCTAGCCCATCAAACCTGGATGCTTTGGCATTGGTAGTCACCTTTTTCTGCTAGAAAAATGTATTTAAGTCTGTCCACTGTTTAGATTTTAGTTTTCCACCAACTTCTTTCTACAATGAAAGAGGTTCTAAATTCCCCTACATGCATATTTACGTCTACAGGAAAGACAATGAGTTAGGGTGCACCCATATAATAATAAGTGGTCATGTCTTAAACGCTTTCTTGCTGGAGTCTACATGACATTGAGTTAAGAAGTGAAGCTTTATATTATTGAAGAAATAGTGCTGCAGTGGTTTAGTAAAATGGTCCAAAAGACATCTTTACAAGAACACAATGTGGTGGATTAACATTAGAACATTTTAAAATAAATATTTTAACATATAAGAATAAAACAGTGAGGAAAATATAGTAGGGTTCACAAAGAAAAGCAATTCTGCTACTTTCATTGTTGATCCATGTTTGATCATTTCCTCTGTTGATACAACTTCTGCAGGAAACAAACTTTCGCAGTTTAAGCACCCTTCCCAGAAGACCAAGTAATGCCATATTTTTGTAAATTTTAAATTTAGTCATCACACCTTAATCCATATCAGGTAAGAAATAATTCCAGAGCTTAATAAATATTCTGACCATTGGAACTTCTCAGGATGTTGTGCTAACACCAGCAGCCAGGGGCAGCTAAGCAGCTAAGTGAGGATCCAGTAATACAGATCAGCATTTCTCAACCTTTTCTCAGTCATGACAGCCTTTAAAAGTATGCAAATATCTTGAAAAACCCAGTCTAAAATGTCGAAAACAAAAATGTAAAAAATTACATGTGGCCCCTCCAAAATCCATACCAGACCCTTATCTGAGATGTTGTAAGGCTCTGGTATGGATTTTAAAGGGAGATCCATGCAAAAAAACACAAAAACCTTCAAATCAGAAGCCCCCTTCACACTAGGAGCTCCTTTTACACTAGAGCCCCTTTCACATCAGAATCCCCTTTTCACAATAGAGTCTTCCTTTATATCAGGAGCCCCCTTTCATTTTAGAAGTCCCCCTCTACTTTAGGAGTCCTCTCCTTTCACATGCGAGTCCCCTCCTCTCACAGTAGGAGCTCTCCTTCACATCAGATGCGCCCCCCCCCACATCAGAGCCCTACCACCACATTAGGAGGCCCTGTTGTGGCAGCATGGCAGAGGATGGGAGGCAGATCAGGCATTAGCAGAAGTGAACTTCCTTCCTTTCTGAATGGATCCCACTCTCCCTGGATTTTAGTCATTTGTTTCCAAAGCGCTGTTGGCTTGGCTGCCTGCACAATGGAAAGGCATGATGATGTGTTTCAAGACATCCCTGAGGAAGCCAGAAGGCACCCTAGTTGAGAAAGGCTGATATATATATAACTGAGTCTTCCAAAACAGGAAACGAATAGAACACGATATCTAAAACATTACTACTTTTTCATAAAGCTTAAGAAAAAAAATTCCCCCCATGGTATTTCACAAATATCATCTGCAAGAAGAATACTCGAAAGGAAAGCTTACTTGCAAACTCAATAATAAGGTAGAAACATTATGGATTAAACTGCTGGGGTCTGATGAAACAAAGAACTGAACTCTTTAATGACTGTTAGCAAAGATACATTTTCCAAATATGAAGTGTTTAAAAAAAGAAGAAAAAGTTTAAAAACTGTTGATTAGGAAGATGAATCCTTTGATGCTTGGGGGTTCATTGGTAGCCAATGGCATAGGAAATAGTGCACAGGTAGAAGACGGAATATATTCTACGTGCATAAACACATCCTGTAAGCCAATGTCCCATAATCAGTAATGAAACTGAAGCTCAAAAAAGGCTGAATATTCCAAAAGGCAATGATCCAAAAACATACCTCAAAATAATTGAACTGCTTAAAAAAAAAAGAAAGCTTGCAGTTTTGTAATGTTATCTAGAGCCACCTAAATTGAAACTTTAAGGATAAATGTCAGACATGCAAGGTAATGTAAACTAAGAACCAAAAGCTGTAGGCACGCAATAGGCACTCAAAGGTGCGCAAGGCAACAGCTTCAGCTTGGATCACTTCATGTTTTTCGTGTTACTGTTCCTCAACTAAGGGAGCATGTGACCTCCTCACATGTGGCCCATGCACTGTCACATGAGGGAGTGAAGGTATCACCCTTAGTGTCTGATACTAGCCAACACTTTGAATTTCAGTGTGACTGCATTTGGATTATTGAGATTGTTAAAGTTTATATGGTAACTTGTATGGTCTCAAATGTACCTTTTTTTTTGCAGTGGAATGTTTGATGATGGCACCCACACCTATACCATACATCCAGTGGACCTAAGTCACACTACCGTAAGTATCCACACCAACATGAACATCATGAAAATTATAACAATCATTTACATGTTTAAGGTTATTGCACATGTGTACATTATTCAATCTTTAACAGTGCTTTAAATTGTTCTTCCCATGCACTACCTGACTTGACACTACTGTCCATAGAGTGTCAGTTGCTGCATATGAGCCCCAATGAACAACAATGGACAGATATTAGAATTGGAAAACCAAACAGGGTCTTGAAGATTCTCAGTAAAAGAGCCTGGCACTGAACAAGCTCAACCTTTTTTGCTGCAGGCCTTTGCAGAGGAACTAAACTATGCTCATGATGCTTATGTTTATAGAAACAGTTTTTTAATAGATTGCCTGTGTTGGTGAAGTCACAGAAAATGATGAAGCCTCTTGCATCAAACTTTTGGTAGGTGCAAATTGGGAGGGTAAGGGTGGAACAAGTAAAATCTGTTGCTTGCTCTAAAAAAATGTAGGTTTCTTGCTAATAGTTTACATCAAAGTATAAAGCAAAGATAAAATGAAGAGCTGCATTTGTAAAGAGCTTTCCGGTTCAGTTTGGGATCACAATGCACTCCTGGTGGAGAAAGATAATAGCCGGACTGAGGGTACAGGGCAATGGCAAAAGAGCATAGGTCTGTGTGGTTAAACATTGGTAGACACTGAAGAATGATCAAACTATTTTTTATTCTAAAAGACTGCAATCAGGTCCACCCCAAATTTTTCCCTTACCATCCCTTTAATATATAACCCTACTGTACCCCGTTACAAGATGACTTTGGCATGTTATAACCTATTGCAAAATCGCCTTCAAAATGTTTGATTTTAGTTATGGGTGGACATGAAATAATTTGAAATATGTTAACTACATGCCAAACATTTGCATAGTGCACAATATTAAGACAGTTTAAATCATTATGAAATATAATATATGGACTTCCAAAGAAAAAGAATAAATAGCATACCTACATCCCTATAAGTATATTCAACTCAGAGGTGAAAATTAAAAAACAAGGGGCTAGTAATATTGTAAAAATATGCTAACTTTGAAGTTAATGTACATCTAGGCTACTTATACAAATACACTCTTGACAACTACATATATATTAGTAAGTTACATATAATTGTGCTGCTGTGGGTTAAATATAGTTATTTTTCATCTATATGTAGATTCATTCTTTTAACCTACTGCTTACCTTTGTTAGACCGAATGTGCAACATCTGACAGTGAGTGTTCAAGATATTCTTCATCTCCTGCACAGAATATTTTGTGGGTGAGGGTTTTTGTGTTATGAGCCTGCTGGCTCCATTCACTGGGTTACTCCATTCACTGGGTTACCTGATCACCAAGGCCACCAGATGATCTCATACCACTGGGACTTTCTGAAATATTCTGGAAGTGACCTTATTCTTTTCATTTTAAGAAATATAATTTATGTTCCTTGATATCTCATTCAAAAAACAAAATATCATAAATAACACATTTTAAGCAGTAAAATATTAAATGTAGGTGTACATTGAATTAGTTATCAGGTTTACAGACTACACTGATCTTACATTTGTAATAAATAAGATATTTTATGAAGCTTGGTATGGGTTGGATTATTAAAAGGTAAGCAAAGAGCACTGCTACTTGCTATATTTATATTCAGTACTAGACATACAGTCTCCATTAGCACTGTGTTCTTGGCCCTTTGCTGAACATATCTCACTGCTTAAGACATTAATCTTATTGATAGTGGGTTAGATCATGACACCAAGCATACTTTGCTTAGATTCAGCTTGAATGCATTAAGCATTAATAACTGTTTACTATTTCTTCTCAGAAGTCCTTTACTATCTTCTGCAACAAGGCTGCCTAACCATTTAAGTGAGCCTTAGGGGCACTAAGGGGACACTAGTTCTCATCATCCTGCTGACCATCAGGGTTTACCCCCCACTTCATGGTCACAAGAAGTCTAGTAGTTCACTGCTTCCCAAAAACATATTGGGAGAATGTTATCAAATGCGTTCCCCCAGTTTGTCCAGTCCAAGTTCCAAGTTTCAGAGGAAACAATCCATTATAAAGCTCTGCATCTCCTGGCTCCTTCCAGTCCATTGTTTTATTCTGGTGTTTGCTCTACTGAATTACATCTTGCTGCAGAAAGGATTTAGAATGTTGTGCATTAATTAATAACTGGAACTGCTGAGAATCAGCAGTTACCAGCATTACAGAGGCTAATATAACTCAGCACGTACAGTGTACGTGGCCAGTCATATAGCCACTTTGTGACGGGACGTACACTGTACGTCTCCCGTCACGAAGGGGTTAACGCGTAAAAGAGCAAAAAATTATTTTATTAGGACTCATGACAAACTTATGTGTGTGTAGTTTTTGTTTACTTGTACAGGAGAAAAAAATACCTTCTCAGGTTTCTTGAAATAAAATATTAAAATTATGAAGATAATAATCAGCTACACTGAATTTACTAAGGTTTAAACTTTAAAACTTTTGGTTTAAAGGCCAAAAAAGGCAATAAAGTAGAGATGTATCATTGTATTAAAATCATAACGTCTGATAAAATATCTTTTTGCTGTTATACTTAAAATTACTGGGAAGGTTTAAACCCCTATGCATGCATTTCAGTTTCTCAAACACCAGGAAAACTTCCATGAAGGTTCTCATTTTCCAGGCCAGTAGTAGTTAGTCACATTCAGGCATTTCACAGCTCATCCATGCCAAATATTCATTCCTAATGAGTTTCCGCAACAAAACCCTGCATTTATATCCACCTGTGTGGATATGAATGTTGAGATATAGTCATGAAACTTGTTAGAACTGAAGAAATGGCTTAGATAACGTGAAACATCTTCAACATTGCAAAACAAGTCAAGTTGAATGTGACTAATTTACTACAAGGAAAAACATTAGGTCATTGGGAGCCAGAGGATTCCTTGTTTTAATAAAGATGGAAAGCCAAAGAAAAATGGAGTAGGCTCCCTAAGATGCACCTGAAAGGTAGTGAGCTACCTTGGCTGCTTGTAACAACCTTTTTTTTTTTTTTACATTTATCCTTCTCGGGGCTTAGTGACTACCCCCCATTGGAGCAACTCCAGCTTTTATAACTGACAGCTTGTATTTCCTATTACAAGATGACTAAAAAAATGTATTCTCACATAACGGCATTATTCCAGCTTCTTGTTATTTGATTTGGACCAGCATTTGTTGTTCTTCAGGAAAGCACAAGTCGCCCCCATGTCATAGAGAAAGCTCCAGGATCCCAAATTCCTAGTGCACTACACCAATCAGGTAAGCTCCACACACCATCACTTACATATTGTAAATATTTAAGACAGCTCATATCCTTTCTACTTCCTGATTTTTTTTCTAAAGCTCTGTTGTACAAATGAATAGTCTAAAACTATATTATACCATAAATGTAATAGATTATTGAAGCATGACAATTGTATGAAAGTGGATACACCATTAACGTCCACCCATGATAAAGGTGAACACTAACTATGTTGACGCCCATGTCAAAACGACTAGGGGAACCCCCCACCTTATTCTTCATCTCGAAGGCTTTCATATCTCTGCTTTCATGGCCGTTTATAGAGGTTTCCAAATGATATATAGGTTCAATTTAATCAAAAACTATTTGACAAATGCTTTTACTATCTGCATAAACTACTATGTAGCAAGACAGCGTAGAGCACCAGAGCAGTCATTTGACATGCTTGGTTTTACTCTGTGGGCCCTGACTGAAAGCATCTCCCTGCCAGGCTGCCAGTAATGAGACAGAGAACAGTGCAACCAAAAGACATCTGGATGCTGTTAGACAGCCCCAAATGTTTGGTGTGCAGTGACCAATCAGGTCCACCATATGCCTTGAGAGTTCCATAAAGTTTAGAAGTCCATGTCATGCAAAGAAACTCTTTCTTTTGTCTGGTTGGTTGTTAGAGCTGAGCTTTGATCCAAGAACATAGGCGTGCGCAGGGGCTGTGGCTGTTGTGCCTGGGCACACCCTAATTACCCAGAGCACAACACTGAAAACACAACAGTGGGCGCCGTGTTTTTAATTACTTAGCCGGTGGAGAGATCACTAGGATCTCTCTGTAACCAGTTCAGTGACACTTGCCACTTACATTCCTCACATAACAGCCGCAGTCCTCGATACCTGGAAAGCTGTGAGGGAGCGGGTGGGTGACCACCTGCCAAGGCTCCCTGCTCCATTACTGCACTACTGCTGAAAGAGGTAAGGGATAGTTGAAGAGATGGGAATTGGGGATGCTCCAGCTCTGTGTATGTATGTATGTATTATATATATATTGTTGAACTCGATAAACTTGTGTCTTTTTTTTCTACCCAACTATGTATATACACTGAGTGGCCAGATTATTATGACCACCTGACGTTTGTAGGCAAATTTGCTATAATTTCGCGCTGAAGTTGCTAGAGGGCCAGACCATTATAAATAGAGAAGCAGGCTGTTTACCATGGCAGTCGAAGTGATTTTTTTTCTGAAGATATGGGTAAACAACGCGATTTAACAGCCTTTGAACGTGGGATGATTGTTGGCACTCGGAGCCATGGAGCGAGATTCAGCAAGACAGCAGAATTAGTTAAATGTTCAAGAGCAGCTGTTGTTAAAGTGTTTAAAGACTTGACTGTCAGCCGAAAATCTGGGTCTGAACATGCAAACTGTGGCCGTCAGCGACTAGTCAATGTTAGGGTGGAACGGAGAGTGGCAAGACTGGTACAAGACAACAGAAGGACAACAGTGCATCGAATTACTGCAGATCTTAATCAGGGATCCTCTCAAATGATCTCTGAACGCACTGTACGCCGTACACTGCATCGTATGGGATGTGGTAGCCGAAGGCCTGTTCGAACACCTTTGCTGCCTGCAGTTAGGATAAAACGTCTCCAATTCGCACAGGAACACAAGGATTGGACAGTCGAGCATTGGAAAAAAGTCATGTGGTCCGATGAATCACGTTTCCAGTTGGATCATGCAGATGGCAGAGTGAGAATTTGGTGGAAACAGCATGAAAGCATGCACCCCACATGCATGAGTACAACCCTTCAAGCTGGTGGGGGCAGTGTTATGGTTTGGGGCATGTTTTCCTGGCATGATTTGGGCCCTTTAATTCGTGTGGAACAACATCTGAATAGAACAACATACCAAAGTATCGTTGCTGATCAAGTTCATCCTATCATGTTTATGGCGTATCCCAATGGAGATGGCTTCTTCCAACAAGACAATGCGCCATGCCACTGTGCTCGTATTGTGCAGGAGTGGTTTCAAGAACATGAGGGAGAATTTATCTTGTTTAGGTGGCCCCCACTATCACCAGATCTCAATCAAATTGAGCATTTGTGGGACGAGGTTGAAAGAGCCAGGCAGCTCGTGACTCCACGAGATGTTGAAAGGTGATGCGAGGAATCTGACACTGCACTGTTGCCCTTCTGTTGTCTTGTACCAGTTGTGCCACTCTCCGTTCTGCCCTAACATTGACTAGTTGCTGACGGCCACAATTCGCACGTTCAGACCCAGAGTTGTGGCGCACAGTCCAGTCTTTAAACACTTTAACAACAGCTGCTCTTGAAAATTTAACAAATTCTGCTGTTTTGCTGATACTCGCTCCATGGCTCCGAGCGCCAACAATCATCCCATATCTTCAGAAAAAAATCACTTCTACTGTCATGGTAAACAACCTGCTTCCCTATTTATAATGGTCTGGCCCTCTAGCAACTTCAGCGCAAAATTATAGATAATTATAGCTAATTTGCCTACAAACTTATATATATATACACACACTCGCATGTGTTTGTACTTTTGTGTGCACATCCTAATGCAATAGGCTGCACGCCTATGTTCAAAAACTATTGCATCAGGCTATTAAAACCCAATATACTGTGCCATTCCAAAGTTTCCCACTAATATTAATTTAAAGGTTGAGTCTGTACAGGGCTATAAAAACTAAATAGGGAAAAACCTCTCAAAGTGTGTATTTTACTTTTTTAATTGCTAAATAGTTTAAACATATTTAAAAATGGTTTAAATGGTTACAGATTTAAGTACATTAAAGCTTTTTGCTAAAATTTATGTTAATGTTCTTGGCAGATTCTGAGAGGGAAGTCAGCAGCCAACAGTCATTTTTTGCGCAAACACAATGGGTGAGAAGGAGACGGAAAAGGACTGTCAGTGTGAGTATACATAATAAAACATACAATTTAGAAACTATATACAGTAGTTGCAAAGAACCTCTTATCATTATCTGGTGAACTGTTAGAGAATACATATACACATTCTAAATAATACTGGTTTCAAAACCTCTTCATTTATCCTTGCTGTATTTTACATAGTCGGTATATATTTTTCGTCCAATAAAAAGTAGTCAGATGTTGGAACAGCATATAATCATGCATATAATCATGAAAGTAGTCATCTTTAAAGGAGAACTATGGGGTTAAGGCTTTTCCCCATAATTCTCCTTAAGGTAACGGGAGGACACAAACTAGCGTCCTCCCGTCACCCTAGGCTCAGTATACCGCGAGCTGTAGCTCACCGTATACTGAGACGCCGCAGTATACAGCGAGCTGATTCGAGAGGTGAGCGAACGCCGGTATGTGTTCGCTCACCTCCCGATCTACTGAGCCGACCTGTGACAGTTTCATTGTCACAGGTTGGCTAGAACTAAGTACATTTAGAATATAGGTTACAAGGGTTACAAAACTTTATGTCTTGACTTTGATTTTCAGATCACTCATGCACTGCATTGTTCCCCTGTATATAGTGGCCATTGTTTTACAAGTTCTGTCACTTTGCCTGAATGCCAAAGAGCATGAGCTGTTTCCAGTTTGGCCGATTGGTAAATCAGGCTTAAACTGAGCTACTGGATCTTACTGTGGGCTGCTGGCAGACTATACATACAACGGCAGATTAATTGTCATCTGCCAAATGAAAATAATCTTATTCATTTCAGTTTGATTCTCTTTTGTTACTACACATGTAGAACAATTAGCCTGGTTTTACTGTGTGTGGTCAGCAGTGTCCTAGAAATAAAATGTAAAGGGTGTATTCCAGCAGGAAATGTTAGCCTGCTTGTCTTCATCCTGGGCTTTCATATCTTCTGGTCTTTGTTCTGACTTTACATTGCACTGCATTATGAAAGCATGCACCCCACATGCATGAGTACAACCCTTCAAGCTGGTGGGGGCAGTGTTATGGTTTGGGGCATGTTTTCCTGGCATGATTTGGGCCCTTTAATTCGTGTGGAACAACATCTGAATAGAACAACATACCAAAGTATCGTTGCTGATCAAGTTCATCCTATCATGTTTATGGCGTATCCCAATGGAGATGGCTTCTTCCAACAAGACAATGCGCCATGCCACTGTGCTCGTATTGTGCAGGAGTGGTTTCAAGAACATGAGGGAGAATTTATCTTGTTTAGGTGGCCCCCACTATCACCAGATCTCAATCAAATTGAGCATTTGTGGGACGAGGTTGAAAGAGCCAGGCAGCTCGTGACTCCACGAGATGTTGAAAGGTGATGCGAGGAATCTGACACTGCACTGTTGCCCTTCTGTTGTCTTGTACCAGTTGTGCCACTCTCCGTTCTGCCCTAACATTGACTAGTTGCTGACGGCCACAATTCGCACGTTCAGACCCAGAGTTGTGGCTGACAGTCCAGTCTTTAAACACTTTAACAACAGCTGCTCTTGAAAATTTAACAAATTCTGCTGTTTTGCTGATACTCGCTCCATGGCTCCGAGCGCCAACAATCATCCCATATCTTCAGAAAAAAATCACTTCTACTGTCATGGTAAACAACCTGCTTCCCTATTTATAATGGTCTGGCCCTCTAGCAACTTCAGCGCAAAATTATAGATAATTATAGCTAATTTGCCTACAAACTTATATATATATACACACACTCGCATGTGTTTGTACTTTTGTGTGCACATCCTAATGCAATAGGCTGCACGCCTATGTTCAAAAACTATTGCATCAGGCTATTAAAACCCAATATACTGTGCCATTCCAAAGTTTCCCACTAATATTAATTTAAAGGTTGAGTCTGTACAGGGCTATAAAAACTAAATAGGGAAAAACCTCTCAAAGTGTGTATTTTACTTTTTTAATTGCTAAATAGTTTAAACATATTTAAAAATGGTTTAAATGGTTACAGATTTAAGTACATTAAAGCTTTTTGCTAAAATTTATGTTAATGTTCTTGGCAGATTCTGAGAGGGAAGTCAGCAGCCAACAGTCATTTTTTGCGCAAACACAATGGGTGAGAAGGAGACGGAAAAGGACTGTCAGTGTGAGTATACATAATAAAACATACAATTTAGAAACTATATACAGTAGTTGCAAAGAACCTCTTATCATTATCTGGTGAACTGTTAGAGAATACATATACACATTCTAAATAATACTGGTTTCAAAACCTCTTCATTTATCCTTGCTGTATTTTACATAGTCGGTATATATTTTTCGTCCAATAAAAAGTAGTCAGATGTTGGAACAGCATATAATCATGCATATAATCATGAAAGTAGTCATCTTTAAAGGAGAACTATGGGGTTAAGGCTTTTCCCCATAATTCTCCTTAAGGTAACGGGAGGACACAAACTAGCGTCCTCCCGTCACCCTAGGCTCAGTATACCGCGAGCTGTAGCTCACCGTATACTGAGACGCCGCAGTATACAGCGAGCTGATTCGAGAGGTGAGCGAACGCCGGTATGTGTTCGCTCACCTCCCGATCTACTGAGCCGACCTGTGACAGTTTCATTGTCACAGGTTGGCTAGAACTAAGTACATTTAGAATATAGGTTACAAGGGTTACAAAACTTTATGTCTTGACTTTGATTTTCAGATCACTCATGCACTGCATTGTTCCCCTGTATATAGTGGCCATTGTTTTACAAGTTCTGTCACTTTGCCTGAATGCCAAAGAGCATGAGCTGTTTCCAGTTTGGCCGATTGGTAAATCAGGCTTAAACTGAGCTACTGGATCTTACTGTGGGCTGCTGGCAGACTATACATACAACGGCAGATTAATTGTCATCTGCCAAATGAAAATAATCTTATTCATTTCAGTTTGATTCTCTTTTGTTACTACACATGTAGAACAATTAGCCTGGTTTTACTGTGTGTGGTCAGCAGTGTCCTAGAAATAAAATGTAAAGGGTGTATTCCAGCAGGAAATGTTAGCCTGCTTGTCTTCATCCTGGGCTTTCATATCTTCTGGTCTTTGTTCTGACTTTACATTGCACTGCATTTATAATCAGTAAAGTAAGATTAAAATGTATGGGTGTGATCCAGAAATGTTTGGTGGCTTTAGCTGATACAGTAAGCTTTGGGGGCTGTGCTGTATCCCCGGAAAACATTTTTTGGAAATTAGATCTTCTGACAATGTGTGGGGGTTATCATCTGGCCTCAATAAGGTTTACTATATATGGGTTATCTATCTACTCACAAGTTCCAAGTTGAGTGAACAGAGCTAAGCCAGTTCTATTCCTGCACATTACATGAGAATTAACATTGACCCTTGCATGCATAGCAGTAGGATACATCTTCCTTAGATCGAATTCACACTTTTGTATTGCGGTAATGCAACACGTAACATGCATTGTTGTGTTGTGGTGCCATTCATATTTTTATTCTCAAATATATTTTTATTATAATTTTACATTGTACAGATTGTTTTTAAATTTTGCCCTGACATAAACTTTAATACATCAGTTTTTTTTATTATGTTGGATGCAAAAGGAAATACACAAAGTGTACTTGCTATCTTCCCTTAAAATTCAATTACCTTCTGGCAGGTGTTAAGTATGGGGCTCTGTGAGATGTTAATTGAGGAGACCAAGTAAACAGTCTCTACTGCTTTTAATAAATCAACCTCAATGTGTTCTTTCCCCTAACAGGATTTCTGCCTCCTTCAACTGATAGAACAAATATATACAGTATATAAAATATAAAGCTGTACAACTTTGCATTAGTGGTCCCGATACTTTCATGACTTAAGGCTACTTGTGATCTTTCAATGTGTTTAGATTACATGTGTTGTATTTACTTTACAGGCACGTGGTGGTGTATTTGAGGAGATGAAATATATTGAACTTATGATTGTGAATGACCATCAAATGGTAAGCTATTTTGTTCTTGCGGTGCTTTACATTTCCAGAGGTGATGTAGTCAGGGGTGTCCCTAGCTTTTCTTGCCGCCTGAGGTGGCGGGGACGCGACGTCCCACCAAGATCCTGGAAACCAGTGACGTTACGGCTCGGTGAGATTCGCCCCAGATTGCTAAGAGCTGGGCAGGGAGATGTGTATGGCTTTTACCAATCTGGGACGCTCTGGCCGAAAGGGTGGTGGCAAGCACACTGCAAACATTGTGCATGCCGCTCTGCTTGACACGCCTCCCTCACAAGATGCCTGCCTAATTATGGGGACACCCCTGGATGTAGCGAAACGATTTTTGGTGGCCTTCCAACTATTTTGTATAACTTTATAAAGGTGCTTAAAAATATACATGTGTGTGTGTATATATATATATATATTTTTTTTTTTACACAAAACATGAAGTGACTGATTTTCATTATTACCCACATTTGTAACATTTCTATTTCTATGACCTATTTCGGAATTGAATGTATCTGGACAAATCCCAGCAGTCAGGTAGCGAATGCTCCTTAAAAATTACAGCCAGCACCTAACTTTTTAGGTTTTCAATAGCTGTCAATGGAGCTGGCTTTTGAAAAAAAATCCTGCTGGCTCCTGAATTGGACAGACAGGCTCCTGAATTCCATATTAATTTGTCCTGCCCTGGTGTAAGCATAGCTTTATGTCATTGCTAGTTCTGTGTAATACAGTGTTACAGTGACCCCTGCATAGTGTTGATGTGTGTGTGACACCTAAGCCCGATTCAGAACTCCAGGCATGTAGATATCCCTGCGGTAGATAAAAAGAAGTGCTTAGGTCCATCCACATGCCACATTATAGCCTCTATCCATACCCGTCTGACTTTCTTCATCCTCCCAATATTCATGTCTATATTGAGCACACACTTTACTGCGTTTAAATTTACCTTTCTTGAAGAAACATAAAGGCTGCCATCACTGACCTCCTCCTGAACAAGAGAGAGACTGATCTGGCTTTGTACTTTCAGTCACTTTCAGAGTTGAAACAAAGTAACAGAGTAAAGTCAGAACTTTGTATCTGCTTGCTTTGTCTATGTTAGGGTCTTAAAGCAGCGTTTCTCAACCTTTTCTCAATCATGGCACCCTTTAAAAGTATGACAAATTTTGAAACACCTCAGTCTAAAATGTAAAACGTGTGTGGTTACCCCCATAATCTATACTAGACCTTTATCCTAGATAAGGAGTCTGGCATGGATTTTGAGGGGGGAATTCCGCCCAAGAAAAGGATGTAGAGTTCCCCTCTTCCCATCGGAACCCCTTCTTTCCATCAGGAGCCCCCTTTCACACCAGAATCTCCTCCTTTCATATCAGAAACCCCCCTATATATTGGAGTTCTCAGTCCCACCTTCATGTCAGAGTTCTAGCTTATAATAATTAGCACAAGGTGGCTGCAACAGCATGGGAGACACAGAAGGTCTGGATAGAGGTGAACTTCTGTCCACTTCTGAATGCTGGGGGAGGTCTTGGACGCAAACACTGTGCAACACTGATGTATGTGTGCAACATTGATATACTGTATGTGTGTAACACTGCTATTCTGTGTGTGTGTATAACACTAATATCGTGTGTGTGTGTGTGTATGTGTGTAACACTGATATCATGTGGGTGTGTGTGTGTGTGTATAACACTGATATACTGTGTGTGTATAACACTGATATACTGTGCGTGTGTGTGTATAACACTGATATACTGTGTGTATGTAACACTCATATACTGTTTGTGTGTATAACACTGATATACTGTGTGTATGTAACACTGATATACTGTACGTGTGTGTGTATAACACTGATATACTGTTTGTGTGTATAACACTGATATACTGTGTGTATGTAACAATGATATACTGTGTGTATGTAACACTGATATACTGTGTATATATAACACTGATATACTGTGTGTATGTAACACTGATATACTATGTGTATATAACACTAATATACTGTGTGTATGTAACACTGATATACTTTTTGTGTGTATAACACTGATATACTGTGTGTGTGTGTGTGTGTGTGTGTGTGTATAACACTGATATACTGTGTGTATGTAACAATTATATACTGTGTGTATGTAACACTGATATACTGTATGTATATAACACTGATATACTGTGTGTATGTAACACTGATACACTATGTGTATATAACACTAATATACTGTGTGTATGTAACACTGATATACTGTTTGTGTGTATAACACTGATATACTGTGTGTATGTAACACTGATATACTGTGTGTGTGTGTGTGTGTGTGTGTGTGTATAATGCGTATATACTGTGTGTGTTGCACTATTATACTTTGTGTGTGTAACACTGATATACTGTGTGTGTATAACACTAATATACTTTGTGTATGTAACACTGATATACTGTATGTGTGTAACACTGATATACTGTGTGTGTATAACACTAATATACTTTGTGTATGTAACACTGATATACTGAGTGTGTTACATACACAAGGAGCTTACAATCTAAGGTTCCTATCTCACATACATATACGAGGGTCAATTTAGACAATAGCCAATCAACCTTCTTTGGAGTGTTGGAGGAAACCAGAATACGCAGAGGAAACCCACGCAAGGACAGGGAGAACATGCAAGCTCCTTGCAGATAGTGTCCTGACCAGGATTTTAACCCGGGATTCAAAACTTTCATAACGTTTGATATCTTTGCCATGAATGATATAATATTATGTAACAAATGAACGTGTTTGTTATTTGTATACATTTGTGACTTTCAGGTTCTGGAAATGACTTGTTTTCATAACAAACAGCATTTCAAAATTGTTGACAACTAATGGAATTATGTTTACTGCAGTTTGTCCACTAGATGGCAGAAAATACTCACAGCTGAACCGCTGAGGATCAGAGTATAAATGATCCTGGTATAAAATTTAAAATCTAGGCAAATCCATAGTGTGCGTGTGTGTTTCCGTGCGTTCAGTTGTGTGTGTGTGTGCATTGTGTATGTGTCGCTGTACATTCGGTTGTTTGTGTACATGAATGTGTGTGTCTCCATGCGTTCAGTTGTGTGTGTGTCTCTGTGCTTTCAGTTGTGTGTGTGTGTGTCCGTACGTTAAGTTATGTGTGTGTGTGTCTCCATGCGTTCAGGTATGTGTGTGTGTGTGTGTGTTAGGGTTGCCACCTTTTCTTCAAGCCAAACCCGAACACTGTAGCGCCTTGCGGCAATTTTTTGGTAAAGTACACTATGCATGTATTTTGTGATTAAATAACATTGGAGGTAATCACAAAGATGCCAGTGTGCCACAGGTCCCCAGATATAGAATCTGTACGCAGTGGTGTATTCTGGTTTGGGGCCGCCCTAGGCAAGACGAAACAAGGGCGCCCCCCAAACCCCCCCCCTTCACTAAATCCGCAGGTTCTCATGGGGGCTGTGCAGGATCTGTGGTGGGCTCTGGCATAAGGCCCACCACAGATCCTGCAAAGCCCCCGAGACCCTGCAGAGCCCACCACAGATCATGCACACCCCCCCGAGACCCTGCAGACCGGTGCAGGATGTGTGGTGGGCTCTGCCCAACATAGACCCCTCAGAGCCCACTACAGATCCTGTACAGCCCACCCGAGACTCTCAGATGGGCTGTGCAGAATCCATGCTGGGCTCTGCAGGGTCCCTTTAGCAGCAGTGTGATCATCTTACCTGCTGCTTGGTCCCCGGCCTCCTCCACTGCTGGACTGGTGCTGCAGGACCCGGCCTCCTCCGTACCACGGCGGCTCTTCAGTGACCCGGTGTTCTGTCACGCATGCAGCTGTTTCCTACGGCGCCCTGGCCCCGCCCCTTCCTGATCTGTTGTCGTCCCGGCCTCGCCCCGCCCCCTCCTGCTGCTCCGTCTCCTCTACCTCTTCCACCGCCGCCTACTTGCCGCTTTTCTCTGCCTCCTTGCGGACTCCGTCCTTTGACACTGACGCCTCCTCCACCCGGATGCCTGAGTGAGCAAAAATGCCGCCCCCCTGAAATCTGCCGCCCAAGGCAAACGCCTTGTTACCCAGCAGGAGATACGCCCCTGTCTGTACGTAAAACGATGCCCCCCCTAAGATGCCAGTGTGCCACAGGACCCCAGATATGTACTATACAAAGCAGTATCCATATACCTTGTCGCACTCTTTACCGAATATCCCAAAAGTAACGGGTGCTCGCAATGACTGCGGAGGGCACCGCTCACAAAAGAACTCATATACAGATGTCAACAGCACCAAGATTCCATGTTAGTGCAAATTACCATTTTTTCAGTATAGGGTACGAGTACCAATATTTTCGGTACTCGTCGATACCAAATGCCGATACCAGTGCAATGGGTCATGACCTGCCGCCCGACTTATCAGGAAGTCGGGCGGCGGATCATGACCCATTGCCCGGCTTCCTGATTGCCTGTGAAGCCGGTGTTCCAGTGAAAGAACACCGACTTCAGAGGCTGGCTGGCTTCCTGACCAATCAAGAAGACGGGCGGTGAGTCATGATGTAAACCCGCCTCCTGATTGAAGCCTGCTTCCTAACCACTTTTTTCTAGGCAGCCTGGCTTCCTGAACAATCAGGAAGGTGGGCGGAACGTCATGACTCACGTCCCGGCTTTCTGATTGGTCAGGAAGCCAGGCTGCCTAGAAAAAAGTGAATCCAGCTTCCTAGCCAATCAGGAAGCTGGACGGCACATCATGACGAGCCTCCCGGCTTCCTGATTGGTTAGGAAGCCAGGCTGCCTACCAACAAGTGAAGCCAGCTTCCTAGCCAATCAGGAAGTCCGGACAGCACGTCATGACCTGCCTTCCGGCTTCCTGGTTGGTTAGGAAGTTGGGTTACATTTTTTCTAGGCAGCCTGGCTTGCTGATTAACTTGAAAGCCAGCGTCACATTTTTCTAGGCAGCTTGGCTTCCTGACCAATCAGGAGGCCGGGAAGCGAGCCATGATGTACGACCCGCCTCCTGGCTTCCTGATTATTTAGATGCCGGCGTCACATTGGTCAGGAAGCCACGAAAAATACCTATGAATCTTATGCTGATTTTAGCTATTGCTGTGAGAACCTGTAAAGAATAAGGTGACCAGATTCCTGTGTCCATGATTTATGCAGAAACTTCTTTCAAGGGAATCTGGTCACCCTATTATTTACAGGTTGTCACAGCAAGAGGTAAAATCAGCCTAAGAATTACACACACTCACTTTATTGCCCCCTCCCCCCCCCCGCAGCTCCAACGGGACAGGAGCCAGCGCTCTGACAGTTCAGAGACTATCGGGCACTGTCTGTATAACACACTATTACCGGCCCGGATTAACCCCTTAAAACACGTATCTCTAGCCTCACAGACAGCCGCACGCTCTGCCGGGATTGTGCTCACACAACACAGCAGAAGGTCCTCCTTCACGCATTCCTCTCTAGGACCCAGGGGCTGCCCCTGTCTGCCTGAACTTGTGACATCTTGTGTATGGGGCTGAGGTGGCCATAAACCTGTACACAAGATGCCAAAACCGTACTGTCCGGTTGAAAACTGGACAGGTGGGGGGTGGGGTGGGGGAGAGAGAGAGTGTGGGGGGCTGTGCGATCAGTCATGTGTATGCATGTATGTGCATACTGTGTAGCAATAATATTTTCACACTTTCCATTGCGCTGTGTTTCTTTGTACACCGCATGTCCTATTGAGGTGTGTTTAAACTGCAGGCAAAGCAGGTCTTTTTTTGGTCAAATGTATGACCTTGCAATCAAATAGCAAAGACAATATTCGACGCCCGTCAACATTTTGTATGTCATCCTCATAGGCGTTTATTCCAAAGTCCTGGTGTAATGTTTTCTTATGACCAGAAGGTGGCAGTGTTGTATTGATCCGTTAAAGTAAATGGATGTACTCACATAAAACACAAAGCTAGATACTTAGACTGTGTAACACATATGATAGAGCTCAACTCAAACCTACCTTGCATTTTCTTTTCTTTCAGTATAAGAAACAACGTTCTTCTCACATACATACCAGCAATTTTGCAAAATCAATAGTGAATATGGTGGATTCAGTAAGTATATAGCATATGTTGTCAAATTGTTTGCTTTAGCACAGAAACATATGAAAGGAGAAAGACACACTGATTGTAGTGTTGGGGACCCCACATGATTTTTAACAGGATTTACACTTTGATTTATTGTTTGAATCAACAGAACAATTTACAATAAGAATAGTATTGGAGCAACGATGATGTCTCTCTTTAATGCTGCTTAGTCTGGTGGTTGTCACTCTAGTTGAATAAGTGTACCCTGAATAGCTACTAATTCTCAACTACAAAGGAGGTATTTGAATTCACAAATTAGCTTCTGTTCAGCTGCATATAGATCAGGTCAGTCAACATAAATGATACCAGTAATGTATAATGTAAGGACAGTAACATAAATAAGACTTGGTATCAGCATCTTGCAGTTCAGCAGAGCTTAGACCAGGGGAGGGAGATGCATCACAAGGAGCCAATAAGTGGTGCTGCAGTGCAAGAAGGATGCTGATAGGAGAAGAGAGCAGATAAGCTTATTAGTCTGCTGATTCTCCATTAACTGTCCAGTCACAGGGTGAGAGAGGGAGAAGACCAGTAACTGTTACTTCTTACTTAACTGCAGCAACAAAATCAGGTCTCCTGCCCTGTCAGACAAGGCTGTGTTGTGGGGCTAGACGGACTAGATAATCAGAAATACAAATTGACAAGTTAAACAGCTCTAGGTGTATTTCATCTGCATACAGTATTTGCGTTTGTATAAAGTTCAGCCCTAAAGGCCAAATTAAGTCCATCAGTATATCCAACCTAAGAATAGTTTTTGTAGTCCAGGAAACATTTCAGTTGTACTGAAGTAATAGAGCAGCCACCGTAATAGAGCAGCCACCGTTCTCAACTGGTGGGTCGTGACCCAAAAGTGGGTAGCAACCTCATGTTCAGTGGGTCACCACGTGTCTTCCACTTTTCTAGGTGAGAGGCTTCTCAGCCTCCCCCTAGCTCAGCAGTGTCAGTTCTCGCACCAAGCAGCCATTCAAAATATGCTGCCCGGTGCTGAGTGTCAGCTTGAGGTGGGGTGGGGTGGGCTGGAACTATGGCCGTGAAGGCCACATACATGCATTGCTTACAGCTTCCTCGCGTGCCCTGTAGAGGTGCCTAGAGTGGAGTGATGTCACATTCTGGCTCCCGGCATCTCTACAGGGTGCGCAAGGGAGTTGTACAAGCAATGCACATAAGGATGGAGCTCTGTCACAGCACAGCAGCCCACACTGGACCCCAGGCTGAGGACCCGGTTCTTATAAGGTAGGGAGACTGGGTGCATCTTGAAAAACAAAAAACATTTTGGAGTGTGTATGTGAGATTGTGTCTGTGGTTGTGTGAGTCTGCCAGTGTTTTTGAGGGCTGCCGTTCACACTAGTACAGTACATTCATTGAACAGTCCTGTGCAATTAATGCACTGTACCACGCAATCACACCTTCTACACGTTCTGGTGTGGGAGGCGCATTGCCATTCATTTGACACAGTTGTACACAGTTCAATTGGGTCGTAACCTAATGACCAAGGACAAATGTGGGTCCTGAGGTTACACAGGTTGAGAACCACTGCCTTAAAGTGACACTAAACTCAGGAGTTAAATCTTAGGGCCAGTTCACACCAATTGTGCATGCTGCATTTTTTAAAGCTGGAATGCAGGCATTGTTTCGCCATGCATCTGATCGCACTGCGGGAGGGACGTGACTGCAGTGTCATTGACTTCAATGCACCACCACGCCCCCTTCCGCCCCAGAACGAAGGTGGGAGTTTAGTGTGCGATTACAGTGCGTTCCAGCAGTTACCGCTCTGGAACGCACCGTAATTGGTGTGAACTGGCCCTTAAAAATGCCTTCAAGTACCGTAACTATTAACAAAAATTTAGCTTATTTGTGTATCAGTCAGCTGTAGATCCTCAAATCATCTCTGAAATTGTGCTGACACTGTCCTTCCTTCTGGAGGGGGGGTACTTTTTTTCCTCATGGTCCCTGTGTGTGTTATAAAGGAGCCACCACTTCAAACTCGCTCCCGTGATGGACTACAACCGCAATACAAATTAGTAAACTAAACATGAGATTGTAGTCCATCACAGGAGCGAGCTTGGAGTTGTGGCTACTTTTCAACACACACACAAGGACCACGGGAAACAAAAGTAGCCACTGCTCAGGTAGGCTAGGACAGTGTCAGCACAATTTCAGAGATGATTTGAGGATCTACAGCTGACTGATACACAAATAAGATACATTTTTGTTATTAGTTATGGTACGTGAATGCATTTTTGAGATTTAACTTCTGAGTTTATTGTCACTTTAGGTTTTAGTCTACATGTTCACCAGACTGAGATGCAAGGAGCCAGAATATTTTCACGAGGCTTTTTTTGGTAGAATTGCACCCTCTTGTTACACAATTCTCTGCTGCGCAACCAAGTCTCTCGGATGTTTCGGGAGTTTCCCGCTATTAGATAGCGGCTCCCGGACAATCGGGAGAGAAACATTTTCTCACGGAAAGGTTTTACTTTTTCTGACATCGGGGCTGCCGGCCGCCGTCAGTCAGAAAAAAAACCGGCATAGGAATGAATAGCAAGATTGCTATTGGCTATTTCAATTTTCAACAGCCAATAGCAGACTAGCTATTGCACCCGTCCACTGCTGTTGTCAATCAGCAGAGGTGGATCTGAAGTTCTTCATCAGGTCCTCCTCTGTTGACTGACAGCAGCAGAGAGCATGTGCAATAGCCAGCTTGAGAGTACTAAAAAAAAACAGAAGATAGCTAGGGAAGCATTAGCTTCTTTGCTTTCTGCCATCATTTCAGGGGGTGCTCTCTTCCTTGTTGTTGCACTCCCCTGGGGGGAACAGGGGGGATTGAAAGAGAGCACCTCCCTGAAATGAGAAGGGCACCTCCCTTAAATTACTTATTTCAGGTTGGGATCCCTGACATTGCCTCTTTGAAAATCACATAGTGGTGCTCAGAATTAAGGAACACACCAGGCTGAATTTTTAAGGCTCGGATTCCAGATTATTCTAAAATAAATTGTGCTTTTCTATAGTTCATATAGATTTTCTGTTCAACTAAAACAGAAAGTAAGCAGCCAGTGCTGGGCTTTCTCATTGAAAAATATTCAGAATTCTCTTCAAAATTAGTTCCATGAACACACCCTGTAATAAAATTCTAACAACAAATCAAAATATGAGTTACCTGTTTTAAGCTTGTAAATGTGTAAAATAAAATCAAGAAAAAAGGATAAAGAAATAGAGCAATTGTACTTGCCACCATACCATCTGCTCCTGCTCTCTGGGCTCTATGCATGAGCCAAAGACTGAATATGCAGCTTTAGAAGAAATCTAAGGCTGACGCTACTCTAAGGCATGGGATAAAAAGAATTTGTCAGAATACAGAACAATTGTAGTCAGAAGTAACTGGCCACAACTAGTAGTGAGTGGGGTTTTTTGATCATTGTCCTTTTTTTGACCAGCGTTTTTTAGTTCTACTAAAAGGTTAGTTTTGAACACAAAGGGGTCTTTTCACTAAGCTGCTGTAAGCAGCCAAGTGAACAACCAACCCGGAGTGAAGTGAGCAGATGTTCGGCTATTCACTTCAGGCTTGTACGGCTGATTTCAGCCGTATATCAGCTGAAATCAGCCATACATCGGATTGCTTCGTGTGGCTTCGGGTCGGCCGAACATGGGGTCGGCCGAACATGCTCAGCATGTTCGGCCGACCCGAAGTGCAGAAGGAGTTCGACTCAACCGATCCAACATCTGGATCGGCTAAGCCGAACCTTCGGCAGGCTACTCGCTGCTGTTCGGTCTATTCTCATAGATGCCGAACAGCAGTGAGTGAATAGCCGAATGCGGCATTCGGCTTGGCTGTTCTGATCGGTACCTCTGTGGTACTGAGCAGAATAGAAAAACAGTTAAAAAAGTAGAAAAAATAAAATAGAAAATGATTGGGCAGAGCTAGCAGTAACAGCTACCCCCGCCCAACTGTTTTCAATTGGCAGGGCGGTTCTGCTGCCATCAAAATAAAAAAAAAAAAACTCTAGGAATGCACAGCTAGATTCCTATTGGCTATTTCACTTTGCAATATCCAATAGCAAACTAGCTATTGCACCCGCCCTCTCCTGCTGTCAATCACTAGAGGGGACCTGATGGAGAACTTGAGGTCCCCTCTGCTGATTGACAGCAGCAGTGGGCGGGTGCAATAGCTAGTTTGCTATTGGCTATTGGAAATTGAAATAGCCAATAGGAATCTAGCTATGCATTCCTATGGTGTGTTTTTTTTTTATTCTGACGGCAGCCAACGGCTCCGATGTCAGATGAAAAAAAAAAAGACAACAGAGCAGGGAAATGTTTACTCGGAGAAAGTGTTTCTCTCCCGGGCGGACGGGAACCGCTATCAAATAGCGGGAGACTCCCGGAGCGTCCCAGGTAACCAGGGACGCTGATCTGTCTGTGCAAGTGGTCGGAGCCAGCCGTGAGATGACAGCTGGCTCCGCCCAGCAGTCAGTAACAGGCTGTCGGCCGGTCGCTTTCACCTCGGCTCAGTTGAGCAGAAGCATATGCCTTCGGCTCGACTGAGCCGCTTGGCCGACTTCGGGAGCTGTACGGGCTATAGTGAACCGAAGGGGTCCTGGGGCCGAAGCTAGCCGAAGGATCAGCCGAAGCTACGGCTAGATCCTTCGGCAGCTTAGTGAATAGACCCCTAAGTGTCAGCATTGTTGTATCCGTATATAGTACATATTATTGGTTGTTCTGTAACGTTCTCTGGAGCCAAATAGATTGTATCTGTATATCTTGGAGTAGTGCAATAAAGATTACAATTTTATTGATATACTTCTATCAGCTACCAACTGGAAAGAGCTCCTAGTCACCTAAAAGTAAATATACACCGGCGCCACCTGGCTTTCCTAAGTGAGCGGATAGTGGACAGCTAATGCGACAACAACAGAGTCAATTACAGCCATATTACATAAAATAAACAGTGTTTACATAAGTTCTGTGAATTGGTA